ACTGGCTCCCGGTGGTCTTCCAGGTGCGCTTCAAGGTTTTGGTTACCACCTTTAGAGCGCTCCATGGCATCGGACCGGGGTAGTTACGAGACTGCCTTCTGCTACCAATAGCCTCTCACTGACCAGTACGCTCCCATAGAGAGGGGCTTCTCAGGGTGCCATCAGCCAAACAGTGTCGACTGGCGGCCCCCAGGGGGAGAGCCTTCTCTATGGGGGCACCTACCATCTGGAACGAGCTCCCCCCAGAAATATGGAGGATCCCGGATTTGTGCACGTTTCGTCGTGCTCTCAAAACTTTTTTATTTCAGCAGGCTGGCCTGGCCTAACTCTCCTCTTTTAAATTTTTAATTCGTTTGATTTTATAAATTGGGTGTTTTAATCTGTGTTTCGGCCAAAATATTTAATAATTTTAAGGGGCTTTTAATATTTGTATTATCTGTATTTTATCTTGGCTGTTCACCGCCCTGAGTCCTCCAGGAGTAGGGCGGTATAGAAATTTGATTAATAAATAAATAATAAATAATAAATTTTAATACTAAAAAAATAAAAGAAAAGAACTAGTGGGTGCTTCATCACTGGAGGTTTTGAAGAAGAGACTGGACAGTCACTTGTCAGAAATGGTAGGATCTCTTACTTGAGCAGGGTGCTGGATTAGAAGACCAGGAAGACAATCCTACAGAACACTGGCCAAAGGGTGTATCTTATTTTTCACTAATATCCTTTTTTTACAGCTGTCCTTTTGGACATCAAGCCCCAAAGTAGTTCTGGATACCCCAGAGGAGAACTTGATTCTCACTTTAATTATCATCTTCTTCGTCTTTGAGACTTCTTCTGCTAACTTCTCCAGTAATTACCTTTGATGTAAACATCAGACTGAAACAAGATGGAAGGGATCTTGCATCAGAAAAGGATAAATGCCTCAGGTCATGCTCCATGTGGCACAGGTTTTGAGACAGGCAGGGACTGTGTTCTTGAATGTACCTTCTCTCCTTTCTAGGTGAAGCTTGGTTGTCTTCTTCTGAATCAGGAAAGCCACTGGAATTTTCCTCTTATGAGAGTGCTTTGAATTTTGTAAACTCTTCATCTTGTTCTTATGTAGAAACAGGAAGGGGATTGATTCAACCTTATGAATTATGGAGCTCCTGCTCCTGCTCCTGATGCTGCTGATCTCTCAGGTAGTCTCTGGGAAGCTTAGAATGATGTGCCTGCTGAACTTTGAGCACCAGGATGGAGAAAAACCATGGAGTTATTACAGGCCAGGAGACCATCTGATTAGTTTCATCACCACCGCAACAAAAATGTTGCATGTAATATTGCCTTTCAATATGATTCCTGAGAAACAGTCTCATCTGTAAGTCATTCAGTATGATGGAGTTTCATTCCCTCCATTTGCAGTTCTAACACTCTCATTCTTTTCTTCTTATTTTGCTTCTCCTATAATGCAGGACCTTGTCTAATTTCTTGAATCATTTTCATTTCCATTGTTGTTGTTGTTAGTTGTGAAATCGTGTCCGACCCATCGCAACCCCATGGACAATGTTCCTACAGGCCTTCCTGTCCTCTACCATCCTCTGGAGTCCATTTAGGCTCATGCCTACCGCTTCAGTGACTCCATCCAGCCACCTCGTTCTCTGCCGTCCCCTTCTTCTTTTGCCTTCAATCTTTCCCAGCATTAGGCTCTTCTCCAGTGATTCCTTCCTTCTCATTAAGTGGCCAAAGTATTTGAGTTTCATCTTCAGGATCTGACCTTCTAAGGAGCAGTCAGGGTTGATCTCCTCTAGAACTGACCGGTTTGATTGCCTTGCAGTCCAAGGGACTCCAGCACCATCGTTCAAAGGCCTCAATTCTTTGGCGCTCAGCCTTTCTTATGGTCCACATTGCATACATTGCAACTGGGAAAACCATAGCCTTGATTATACGCACTTTTGTTGGCAGGGTGATGTCTCTGCTTTTTAGTACGCTGTCTAGATTTGCCATAGCTTTCCTCCTCAGGAGCAAGCGTCTTTTAATTTCTTGGCTGCAGTCCCCATCTGCATTCATTTCCATAGCTTCCCTCTTTAATTTTGCAGAAGTGACTCAATTCCAAACACGGGGCAGAATGCAATCTAAAAGAAGCCCAGATTACATTCCACTCTCCATCCAATTTTGAATTCATCACTTGAATACCGTCTTTTATTTAAAGTAATTATTGAACTGGTTGTAGTTGCCCCTGCCCAGCCTAATTTCATATTTTTTTTATAATTGTTCATTGCTCTTTATTGCCTGATCCTTATGGGAATAAAGGTTTATGTTTTTGTTAAGATATTCTTTTCTGGGTAATTTATGAAACATCCTCTTCCTTTTGTGGTGGTTCTACCTTAATGATTGAAAGATTTTTGACAAATCAATGGTTATTGGACAAATAAAAATTTGCACTACAACAAATATATTTGTGACTATTAACTCCGTTGAAGACTTTCCATCCCATCTTCTCAACACTCCTAAAAATTACGTAGTGATTCTTGAGCGTAATTTGCCTCTGGTTTTGATCAATAACACTCAGTAGGATATTGGAGACAGAAATACACTAAATACATAAAACTATTTTGTTGCTGCTACTGCTGATAACGTGAATATTTTTTACAGTAGTTTATCTACTAATAAGTCTAGAATCCTCCGCTTCATTTTCGCCATTCAAGTGGTAAACAAGGCTCCCCAGCTCCTGCACAATCTCACTCTTGCCTACAATATCCATGACAACTATTTTAACACACTTGCTACTTCAGATGCCTTGGTGGACATTCTCTCTACTGGAGAAGCCAACGTTCCCAACTACAGCTGTGGCAAGAAGGACAACCTTTTGGCTCTTCTTGATGGAGCTTCCAGCGATATTTCCACCCAGATGTCAACCTTAGTAGGCTCCTACAAAGTCCCACAGGTTTGTGTGTGTGTTTCTCTATGTAATTAAGTGATGGAGGTGATACTGGGTGAGTGATAGATCAAACCATATCTTCTCTATGGAATTCAAGAGCTGCTTTTCACTATGGCCATTGTAGGTGTCAAGACTAGGGATTGTGATGCACACTGGGGATGGGGCAAGGATGAAAGCAGGCATATATTGTAATATAGGCACACAGGAAGACTTTCATTCTTGGTATTGTGCATTTCTATTGAGGTGCAGTAATTCTTTATATACAACACAACTCCTCTTCTTCTTTTATTGGGTCTGTTTCTTTTTGATACATTATATCCTTCTAGTATGTTCCAATGGTAGGTTCCATCCCACCAAGTTTCAATAAACCCACCCCTTGTTCTGTCCCAGTCTCACACATGCACGCAAACAGACAGCCGGGGGTTAAATAAACTGGCAGACAACAAATTCTTCCGATAAGAGGCTTGGCAGCAACCCAGTAGCTGCTTGCCAAGAACTTTACTCATAAACAAGATACACACAGTTCAAGAATTGTCCAGTCTGTAATTAAATCCAAGGCAGATAATGTTGTTTCCAAAGATGCAATGTGACTCGATAGTAGTTAGTTTTGTCCGTCACAGAGTCTGAATGGCCACCTCACCCCCTTTTATACCCTGTGGGGTGTGATCCAGTGACTTAATCTTAATCTCTGGCATGCCTCTTCTTCTGTTGCGCACACTTATCTCTGCAATGCTGCCGAGGATCCAGCCAAGACTCATCTCCCTCATTACTGTCCACCTGTTGCTGCGTGGACGTGCTTGGCCCCGGGCCTATCTCTTGATCTTCGGCGGACACCGAAGGCATTGCCAGAGAGGAGGGTCCTGGAGAGGGAGGCCTTGCCAACTCCTCTTCTTCACTCTCGGAGTCCTCTCCTGCCGATGACACAGGCTCAGGTAACGGAGCCACAACACCCCTATCCTCATTGTCCGATTTGTTGTCTTGGGGTTTATGTGTTGGATTTGGATTCCTACTTGATCTATTCTTAATCAGTTTAGATATTAAAGATTAACCCAAGCTAATGAACCATCTTGAAATACACATGCCTAAGGCACTAACAAAATTAATTAGCAAAATTAACTTGCTATACATTGACAAGGATATTACAATGTTTGCAAGTTGGGTTTTTAGGATGTTAAGAAGGCTTGCTCAAACTCTAATAGAAATTCTATGGTTATTAATAAATACCAGTCAATTGTAGTGTTGGCACAGAAATATAATTTGCATTCTTTATTTTTATTCTTTATTACTTAATTTGTATGGTTCATTCTATTTATGAGAGTCTATTTATTAGCACTCTCTACTTTACATTCTATATCCTGACATAGACTATTCACTAATCAACAATAAACTATCCTAATATTATGAGAACCAAGTTGGATTTATTAAATGTATTTTGGGCTTGATGTGATCCCAAATATGACACGGGATTCTTCATTGCTTTTTTCAGATCAGTGATAAAATTGTTTCAGGGGCTCTGAGTGATAGAAGTCAATTCCCGTTTTTCCATCGGATGCTCCCCATAATAGGATTCCACTATCCAGGAATTGTCCAACTGCTCCTCTATTTCAGATGGACTTTGATTGGCCTCTTTGCTTCAGACACAGGGAATGGAGAACATTTCATGAGAACTTTTACTCCTATGCTTGACAGGAATGGAATTTGTGTTGTTATATCGCAGCGATTGTCAATCACTGGTAATACAGCACCCCTCAGGGATGCAATCTCCAAGTGGAGACAAGTCAATGTCTTTGTTCATTTCATAGAATATGCTCCCATTTTAGATATCATTTCTCTTTTTCATTCAATGCTTGACGGCTTACCAGGACCCATTGAAGGAAAAATCTGGATTATGACCACCTTGGGGACATATAAAATAAAAAAAGACAGCCCTCTCAAATACATCCATAGTATTTGGGCCTTTGCTTTTCAGGAAAAGAAAAGGCCAAATGATTTCTTTGAATCTTATCTCTATATTGAACCCCAATTTGAAGAACACTCTTTTCGATGTTTGTTTTCAAAGCACATCTTTTCTGTCAAAGGCCGGAGAAGATGTACCCAGAAAGCACCACTGGAGACCAAAGAGGAAAGACATGGTATCCAAATCTGGTATAACCACCATTTTTACAATGTCATTAAGACTCTGGCCCAAACCTTGAGTGCCGCATATTCCTCCAGATCCAGGAGAAGAAGGAAAGAGAGCAAAGATATGTCAGGGGCCCTGAGGCTGCAGCCATGGCAGGTATGGGGATGGATGGAAATGGATGGAAACTAACCAAGGAGAATAGCAAGCTAGAACTAAGGAGAAATTTCCTAATGATAAGAGCAATCAACCAATGTAACAGCTTGCCTTCAGAAATTATGGATGCTCCATCACTGGAGACTTAAAAAAACCTGGATGACCATTTGTCTGAAATGGTATAGGGTCTCCTCTTAGAGTAGTGGGTTGGAGTATAATACTTCCAAGGTCCCTTCCATCTTTATTATTCTATTGGGCGTCCTCCTGGACACACGGCTGTCTCTAGAAGACCATTTGACGGCCGTGGCCAGGGGGGCTTTTTATCAGGTTCGCCTGATACGCCAGTTGCACCCCTTTCTAGATCGGGACTCTCTACGCACAGTCACTCAGGCACTAGTCACTTCCCGCCTGGACTACTGCAACGCTCTCTACATGGGGCTCCCCCTGGGGTGCACCTGGAGGCTCCAGCTGGTCCAGAATGCGGCCGCGCGGGGGATTATGGGGGTGACGAGGCGCTCCCATGTGACACCTCTCCTGCGCGAGCTGCACTGGCTCCCGGTGGTCTTCCGGGTGCGCTTCAAGGTGTTGGTGACCACCTTTAAAGCGCTCCATGGCTTAGGGCCGGGGTACTTATGAGACCGCCTACTGCCACCAATAGCCTCCCACCGGCCAGTACGCTCGCACAGAGTGGGCCTCCTCAGGGTGCCGTCCGCCAGACAATGTCGGCTGGCGACCCCCAGGGGGAGAGCCTTCTCTGTGACGGCGCCCACCCTCTGGAATAACCTTCCCCCAGAGTTACGTATAATAACAGACCTCCGGATTTTTCGTCGGGCCCTGAAAACCTATTTATTTCAACTAGCTGGGCTGGCTTGAGCTAAATTTTAAATTGATTTTAAATTGGGTTGTTTTAATTTACGGCCAGAATATTTAATTATTTTAATACTGTTTTTAAAATTTTGTATGCTTTGTTTTTACTTAGGCTGTGCACCGCCCTGAGTCCTATTTGGAGAAGGGCGGTATAGAAATTTAAACAAATAAATAAATAAATAAATAAATCTTCTGTGTTCCTGACAAGAATCCCTCAAACTTAGTTCTTTTTTAGAAGGGATCCAAAGGAGAAAGAGGGAAACCAATATGATTGGCCAATGTAATCACTTAGGGCATAATGTTCAAAAGAGCAGGTGCCATGACAGATACGTTTGGATATTAAACACTGCTAATGTTTAAAAAGGGACACGGTGGCTCAGTGGCTAAGACACTGAGCTTGTCAATCGAAAGATCGGCAGTTCAGCGGTTTGAATCCCCAGTGCTGTGTAACGGGGTGAGCTCCCATTACTTGTTTGTTAATTAATTTGGTGCCTCCTTTTTTTTTTTACCAGAGATACTTAACGTAGCTAAAAATCAAGACAAACACTTGCGTTCAAAGGGTTTTCAGATGAAGTGCCCTCTTTCAAGTCAAAGGCCAAGTCTAAATAGCATTTCCATTCAAACCACCCTAATTATTTCAGATAGGGACGTGGTGGCTCAGTGGATAAGACACTGAGCTCAAAAGGTCGGCAGTTCAGCGGTTCAAATCCCTAGTGCCGCGTAATGGGGTGAGCTCCCGTTACTTGTCCCAGCTTCTGCCAACCTAGCAGTTCGAAAGCATGTAAAAAATGCAAGTAGAAAATAGGGACCACCTTTGGTGGGAAGGTGACAGTGTTCCGTGCGCCTTTGACATTTAGTCATGCCGGCCACATGACCATGGAGACACCTTCGGACAGCGCTGGCTCTTCGGCTTTCAAACGGAGATGAGCACCGCCTCCTAGAGTTGGGAACGATTAGTACATATGTACGAAGGGAACCTTTATCTTTATCTAATGTTTAAAAGGATGTATGCATTTTTAAAATAATCTCTAAAAAAAACTTATTTCTGAAGACATTTTGCTTCTCATCCAAGAAGCTTCTTCAGCTGACTGGATGGTGGGGAATAAAAGGATTTATATTTCTTGCAGAATCCTTCCATTCCCCACCATCCAGTCAGAGCTGAAGAAGCTTCTTGGATGAGAAGTGAAATATCTTCAGAGAAAAACTAGAAAGTCCAGTTGCCTCTTGAAAAAGCACCTTTGGGACAACCATGACCTGGATGACTAAGAATCTCCATAGACATTCATCTGGTCAAGTTTCCCATTTTGTCCCCCTGTGGAAAAATTAGCTTGGCAACTTTCTTTTTGACAAATCCATATTTTCTGGCAATCACCCTGTTTTTCAAGTAGTTTATGAATAATTTCTGGTCCAGAATGCAGCAGCGCGGGTAGTGACGGGAGCAGCATGGCGCTCCCATGTAACACCGCTCCCATGTAACACCGCTCCTGTGTGAGCTGCACTGGCTCCCAGTGGTCTTCCGGGTGCACTTCAAGGTGTTGGTTATCACCTTTAAAGCGCTCCATGGCATCGGGCCTAGCTATCTTCGAGACCGCCTGCTGCTACCGATGACCTCCCATCGATCCGTGCGCTCCCACAGAGAGGGCCTCCTAAGGGTGCCATCAGGCAAACAATGTAGGCTGGTAACCCCCAGGGAGAGGGCCTTCTCTGTGGGGGCACCTACCCTCTGGAATCAGTTGCCCCCAGAGATAAGGAGAATCCAAGACCTCAGTGCCTTAAAATCCACTTTTTCCAGCAAGCCGGGCTGGCTTAAGAAGAAATTTTTAAATGTTTTAATTGGTTGGTGATTTTTTAATTTTTGGGCCAAATTTATATATATTTTAATTGTTTTTTAATATTTGTATTTCATGTTTTTAATTCTGGCTGTACACCGCCCTGAGTCCTCAGGGAGAAGAGCGGTATATAAATTGGAAATAAAATAAAAAAATTTTTTTTTCATTTGTTCAATTTATTTGTGACCTGCTCCACCATGTTCCTTTATAATTGAATAATTCTGACATTTATTTTGTCAACATGTATTGTGTCATCAAATGTTGCCAAACCATGGTTCTTCACTTTTGGAAACACTTGTTTTCCCAACTTGCAAGTTAGTCAACTGTGCAAGAAAGATTCAAATGTGAAAAGACCACATGGGATAAGAAATGAAGCTTTCTTCTTTTAACATCCTCGGATGTCCCATTCTAGTTCCATGCCTTTCTGAAGAATGAATGTCGCAATCTTTCATGGAGGAAACTGTACTTGGATGAAAATGGACATGTAGCAGCAGATCTGAACATCTTGAGCTTCTTGTTTTTCTCCAAGGAAGATCCCATCAAAGAGCAAGTGGGGAGTTTTGAAAGACAGAATCTTATTATCAACCAAGATGCTGTTTCAAGGCTAAAGTTACTCAACAAGGTACGTGTATCCCAAAGGCTTAAGAACAATTTCAATTGGATTAATCCTAGTCACCAAGGTGGTTGACCTTCATTGAGACTTCAGTGTGGGGAAGAAATTCCTTATACTTTTTTTGGATGACTTGGAAGGCTTTAATATAGCTATCAAAAGTGTCCTTCAGATGCCAGGGGTGAAATGCTCCCGGTTCGGACCAGATTGCCCGATCCAGTAGTGATGGAGGCGGGTGGTTTGGAGAACCAGTAGCAAAAATCCCTGCCCCCCTCCATGCCCATCAGAGACTTTTTTCTTTTAAAAGCCTCTGACGATCCAAGCTGAGTTGCTTGATCGTCAGAGACATTTAAAAGAAAAAAAGCCTCTGCTGATCAGGCAACTCAGCTGGGATCGTCAGAGCCTTTTGAAAGCATTTGAAAAATTCTGGAGGATGATATGGATGTGGATTAGAGAAATAATAAAAGAAAATTTTGATTTCGACCCAAAAGCCTTTCTCCTGGGAATTTTGAAAACTGAATATGCAAAAAAGAAAAAGTATTTAATTATACATATTCTGACAGCCGCTAGAATTTCCTTTGCCCAGTATTGGAAAGAAAAACAAATACCACCTCAAGAACATGTTATTGGAAAAATATTGGAGCGCGCTGAAATGAACAAATTGACTTCAGAAATTAATGACAGAGAAGATTCGGAATTTTATAGCGTGTGGGATATGTGGTACGAATGGATGGGGAAAAGAAATAAAGAAGGAAATAGAGATTAAATATTAATTAATTAACAAAATCTATATGAATAGTATTATATTTAGTCTTAGAGAGTTGAGCACTATTATCTTTAAGTGTTTTGAAATTAAATCTAGCTTTAAGAAACAATATCAAATAAAAGACAAGTAATAATGCATGTAGATGTATATATGTATATAATTGCACCAATGAACCGAAAATGTACCGAATGTATCACTATATGTTATAATAAAAATCAAATTAAAAAAAAATAAAAATAAAAAATGAAAGCATTTTTTTACAACCTCTTCGCTGAAGAGGTTGTAGAAAAAATGGTTTTAAAATTAAAAAAAAAAATTGGCCATGCCCACCCAGTCACATTACCCCCCACCACCAAGCCACGCCCACAGAACCGGTAGTAACAAATTTTAGATTTCACCACTGTCAGATGCTATAATATGGGACACTTTTTAAAGGGTTGCTGGGTGATTATATTTTTTAGGATACAACTCATGGTCTTTGGGGTTCCCTCTGCAATCTGGTATCCCTATAAGAGTGGCGAGAGAGGCCATCAAGTACTGAGGATTGCAGTGCTGATAGCTTTGCTTGTTCCTTGTTTTTAAATACCAAAGAAGAAGTTATTCTGGTGACCATTCAGGATTCAACTAAATACAATGAAAATGAACCAAGATCAGGTGGAAATTCATTTAGTCACAATGGAAAATTAGCTTTGCAAGTTAGATATAGCTTGTCATGATTGGGGAGGTTGATATCGCTGATATTTTCAACCAGATGGGATAGGGACAGAATTATCCAGTTCTCTCTTTCATGCTACTGGGGTAGTCAACAGGTTTTCCTCTCCTGGGAACCTGATCCAAGGCTTTCAATCCACATGGAATCATAATGACTGATCCAATATGAGATAATGCCCTGATTAAAAATAACTCAAACACTGAAACATGACTTTGATCCAAAGAAAAACCCTTTCATATATCTGAAACAATTAAAGGTTCCACTCGCACATATGTGCTAGTCATTCATGACTCTAGGGGGCGGTGCTCATCTCCGTTTCAAAGCCGAAGAGCCAGCGCTGTCCGAAGACGTCTCCGTGGTCATGTGGCCGGCATGACTAAAAGCCAAAGGTGCACGGAACGCTGTTACCTTCCCACCAAAGGTGGTCCCTATTTTTCTACTTGCCTTTTTTACGTGCTTTCGAACTGCTAGGTTGGCAGAAGTGACGGGAGCTCACCCTGTTACGCGGCACTAGGGATTCAAACCACTGAACTGCCAACCTTTTATTTATTTTTTATTTTTTATTTTATTCAATTTGTATACAGCCCTTCTCCTAGTAGACTCAGGGCGGTGCACAGCCAGAACTAAAACACATACCAATACAAAATTTAAAATTATTAAAAGAATTACATTCTTTGGCCCAAATTTAAAACAATTCGAATTAAAATCCATTGACAGATTAAAAGCTAAAAAACTAAAAAAAAAAAAAAGGGGGGGGGGTTTCCACGCCAGCCCTACTTGATGGAAAAGAAAAGTTTTCAGGGCACAGTGAAAGACCCGGAGATCCGATATCTTTCTTATCTCCGGGGGCAAGTCGTTCCAGAGGGCAGGAGCTGCCACAGAGAAGACCCTCCCCCTGGGGGTTGCCAGCCGACATTGCCTGGCTGACGGCACCCTGAGGAGTCCCTCTCTGTGGGAGCGTACTGGTTGGTGATTGACAAGCTCAGTGTCTTATCCACTGAGCCACCACGTCCCTATCTGAAATAATTAGGGTGGTTTGAATGGAAATGCTATTTAGACTTGGCCTTTGACTTGAAAGAGGGCACTTCATCTGAAAACCCTTTGAACGCGAGTGTTTGTCTTGATTTTTAGCTACATTAAGTATCTCTGGTAAAAAAAAAAGGAGGCACCAAATTTAACTATTAATGAATGTGTGTCCATCTTTCCATACTAGCTGGAGTCATCTAATTCTAATTCTTGAAGGGAAAAAGTATTATCTTGGATATTTAACTGGATCTTAGAAATACCCTTTACTGACAAAGGGCTTACATTCATGTCCCAGGTACTGCACCAAAAGATTCTTGCCTTACCTTTGTTGAGGGACAAACTTTCTGATGATCTCACCCTCCATTTCATCTCACTACAGCTCTAGAAATTAGGCAGTCGGTTTTAATCTTATTTCACAAGCCTGGCAGCCATATGAACTGAAGAACCCTAAGAATTTTTTTCCTTTGTATCTTAATTTGGAGACTGTTCTGGAGTACTTTCAAAGTCTGCAAAGTTTTATGTAGTCCAGAAGAAACCTTTTCAGCTCCTATGGGCCAGAAGTTTCTTTCTTCATCACAATTCCGTTCTATTTTAATAACTATAATGTAATAAAAATGTATAAACCTTTATAATAAACTTTAAAAATTAATTAGAGAAATACCCAAGATGCTTTTTCAAAAGGCAACTGGATTTTCTTTGTTTTTTTCTTGAAGATGTTTCGCTTTTCATCCAAGAAGCTTCATCAGCTCTGATTGAAGAACTGAACTTCATTCAGAACTGAAGAAGCTTGTTGAGTGAGAAGCAAAAGTCTTCAAGGAAAAGCAAAGGAAGGTCAGTTGCTTTTGGAAAAAGCACCTTTGGTTGACTGAGAATCTCCATAGACATTTGGCCACTAATAGTCATTTAATGCTGAAATAATTTCTCAATTCCATCCCCCCCCCATTATTAAGTAGAAAATTACTTTATGGCAATTTGATATTCCAGAAGCAAAATGGAAAAACTAGCCTTTTAAAAACAGTGAGAGATTTTGTATTTACCTAAGTGAAGCATAGAATACTACCTAAATAATGTTCATGCCAACCTCCATTTTCCATGGATGGTCAGTCTTGACACATTTTGTTTGGCATTTTTTTGTTGCTTTTTTTTGCAAAGTCTCTGCCTCAGTCCAAATGTGTGGAAAGTTGTCAACCTGGATTTGTCAAGCAGTCTCGAGAAGGAGAACCAGTTTGCTGCTATAACTGTGTTCCTTGTCCGGAGGGGAGCATCTCCACTCAGGAAGGTGGGTGACACTTAAGGAAAGGATACTGGTTTCATCCAGAACATTTTGACCAATGTGCTTATTGAAAGACACATCTAACCTTGACTATTTTGTTGGTCTTAGAATAGAATAACAGAGTTGGAAGGGACCTTGGAGGTCTAGTCCAATCCCCTGCTTAGGCAGGAAACCCTACACCACTTCAGACAAATGGCTATCCAACATCTTCTTAAAAACTTCCACTGTTGGAGCATTCACAACTTCTGGAGGCAAGTTGTTCCACTGATTAATTGATCTCACTGTCAGGAAATTTCTCCTTAGTTCTAAGTTGCTTCTCTTCTTGATTAGTTTCCACCCATTGCTTCTTGTCCTGCCCTCAGGTGCTTTGGAGAAGAACTTGACTCCCTCTTCTTTGTGGCAGCCCCTGAGATATTGGAACATTATCAAGTTTCCCTAGTCCTTTTTTTCATCAGACTAGACATACCCAGTTCCTGCAACCGTTCCTCATATGATTTAGCCTCCAGTCCCCTAATCATTTTTGTTGTCTTTATTTTCAACATGCCCAATTTCTTCCATAACAGGACGAATAAGAATAAGATCTTGAAGGATGAGGTGGGAAGAGATAGAAAGACATGATGGATTGGGCAAGGTTACTTCTGCCAGAGGAAATCTCATTTCTGCTTGACAGTTTGGAAATGTCCTTCCATATTTACATTTTTTAAAGGAATTGGGCTCCAATGGGGCCGTGAAATTTTCATTTGGGAACTGTTCTTCCATGTTTGCTTTTCTTAGGAACATCGGAATTCTTTGAAACTTTAGGAATAGTTTATGTTCAACAACTTTTGCTCACCCAAACCAACCTTATCTTACTAGCTAAAGGATACAGAAATCAATCAATCTGTCAATATTTATCAAGACCATACAGCCAAATAAGCATACAATATAAATGGGAGTCCTCCCAAGATATAAGTGAGAGGCCTGTGGAGAGAGAGTGAGAGGTTGGGTTCAAGGAACAGGAGAAGAGAATTGGAGGAATCACCATAAAGTCTATTGAGAGGGAATCAGTGTGAGAGAAGGGGCATACACTTAATTGATCATTATTAGGGATAAAATATGCCTCCCCTCTCCAACACACACACACACACACATTTTTTGGTGTGTACTGTATGTGTCCATGGATGGAGGTGCTGCACAATTGGGAATTCTCCTAGACTTACAACTACTGCTCAATGATAGACAAAGCTGTGTAGAGCTACCTACGCAGAGATTCTTCTTGTGCACCAACTGTGAACTTTCCCTGACTAGTGGCCAAGAAATTAAAAGATGCTTGCTCCTGGGGAGGAAAGCTATGGCTTTCCTGGTGGCACAGCAGACTAAAGCATTAACATCATCTGCCTGTAATTACTGCAAGTTCAAACCTCACCAGGCTCAAGGTTGACTCAGCCTTCCATCCTTTCTAAGGTAGGTAAAATGAGGACCCAGATTGTGGGGGCAATAAGCTGATGTTGTATAAATATACAAAAAGTATGAAGGCTATTGCTTAACGCATTGTAAGCTGCCCTGAGTCTCCAGAGAAGGGCAGCATATAAATCAAATTAAAAAAAAATAAATCTAGAGAGCATACTAAAAAGCAGAGACATCACCTGTCAACAAAAGTGCATATAGTCAAGACTATGGTTTTTCCAGTTGCAATGTATGGATGTGAAATTTGGACCATAAGAAAGGCTGAGCACCAAAGAATTGAGGCCTTTGTATGATGGTGCTGGAGAAGACTCCTGCGAGTCCCTTGGACTGCAAGGTGATCAAACTGGTCAGTCTTGGAGATCAACCCTGGCTGCTCTTTAGAAGGCCAGGTCCTGAAGATGAAACTCAAATACTTTGGCCACCTAATGAGAAGGAAGGACTCATTGGAAAAGAGCCTAATGCTGGGAAAGATAGAGGGCAAAAGAAGAATGGGATGACAGAGAATGAGGTGGCTGGATGGAGTCACTGAAGCAGTCGGCGTGAGCTTAAATGGACTCCGGGGGATGGTAGAGGACAGGAAGACCTGGCGTAACATTGTCCATAGGGTCATGATGGGTTGGACATGACTTTGCAACTAACAAGTGGCCACAGAACAACCTTGTTGTGTTACTTGTACAGGTCCCAGTTCCTTTCTGGCTACAAAATGGGGTGTCATAATGAAGGATGATTTTCACCTCAGGAATTTCTCTTGGGGTTTTCTTTTTGTTGTTGTTTTTCATAATATATATATTGCTATGCTTTAAGCTTCCCAGTGTTCGCTTTAAGATGAGAAGCCAGACAAATGTTTTATATCTATTTCTATGATTTCTATTTCTGTTTACCATTATCTTCCTTCTCTCAGTATCAACTGTCCTCCAAGTAAAGTCTTCGTTGAAATGTGAAAGAAGAAAGTATAAATGAAATATTACTTTCTGTTTTCTCAGATATGGAAGAATGCACCATGTGCCCAGATGTTAAATTTCCAAACAAGGATGGTGTGCAATGTATCCCCAAAATAATAACTTTCCTGTCCTATGAAGAAACTTTGGGTATCATCGCAGTCTCCTTTACCCTGCTACTGTTCCTAATCACAGGTATTGTTTTAATCATATTCATTAAAAACCGAGAAACTCCCATTGTCAAAGCCAACAACCGGGACCTCTCCTACATTCTCCTGGTTTCCCTCTTGCTTTGCTTCTTATCAACCTTTTTCTTCTTTGGAAAACCAAGGAAAGCAACCTGCCTTCTTCAAAAAATAGTCTTCAGTATTGTCTTCTCAGTTGCCATTTCTTCCCTCTTGGCCAAAACGATCACTGTGGTGTTGGCCTTCCTGGCCTCAAAACCAGGAAACCAAGTGAAGAGATGGTTGGGGAAGAGGCTGACCAACTCCATCATCCTTTCTTGTTCTTCTGGCCAAATGATCATCTGTGCCGTGTGGCTGGGAGTTTCTCCTCCATTCCCTGACTCTGACCTGCATTCCCAGCCTGGAGAGATCATCCTCCAATGCAATGAAGGCTCTGTCACCATGTTTATTGTTGATCTTGGTTACATGGGTTTCCTAGCTGCCATTTGCTTCATGGTAGCTTTTTTGGCCAGAAACCTGCCTGGGGCCTTCAATGAAGCCAAGTCAATCACCTTCAGCATGCTGGTCTTTTGCAGTGTCTGGGTTTCCTTCCTGCCCACCTACCTGAGCACCAAAGGAAAATATATGGTGGCTGTGCAGGTCTTCTCCATCCTGGCCTCCAGTGCTGGTCTACTGGGCTGCATCTTCATCCCCAAGTGCTACATTATCATTCTTAGACCAGATCTAAACACTAAGGAACATCTAATGATAAAAGTAGTTAAATAGGCTCGAAATATATAATTATTCATTGCAAATACGATTGGGTTTCCATACTTTCTTTGCATCTGTTTGACAGTTAAGATTGTTTAAAGTTGAAGGAAATAAAAATGTAATTTAATCCTAAATTAAATCCTAATTAAATGTAATTTAGGAGCCTTGGTAGTACAGTGGTTTAATGCACCCTGTTATTAACACAGCTGCCTGCAATTACTGCAGGTTCGAATCTTACCAGGCTCAAGGTTGACTCAGCCTTCCATTCTTTCTAAGGTAGGTGAAATGAGGACCCAGTTTGTGGGGGCAATAAGCTGACTTTGTATAAAATATACAAAAGTATGAAGGCTATTGCTTAACGCATTGTAAGCCGCCCTGAGTCTCCGGAGAAGGATGGCATATAAATCAAATTAAAAAAAAATCAAATTAAAATGAAAGATAATCATCAAAAATAAATTAACAGAATTAATAGAATTGTCATGTGACCAAGGAAGGAAAGAATGAGAAATGAGATAGTTATACTAATATAAGATAGATGCAGAGGAGACATGATTCCAAAAAAGAATATGGGAGTCCTGTGAAATCAAAGCAGGACTCAACAACCGATAATTAAGGCTCAATGTAATATTTATTTATTTAATCAATAAGCACTGGAGAAAATAGATGAGAGGGACTCCCACAGAAAAAAGGATGTATTCATATTTATACATTTCAGGAAAAGAAGAGAAAACGACACATTCTTACACATGCCTAGGTAGTACAGGTAGTCCTTGAGTTATGACCACAATTCAGCCCCAAATTTATGTTGATAAGTGACCTTCCGTAAAGCCCTGAAGACGTTTTTATTTCATCAAGCCGGCCTAGCCTAAATGGTTTTTAATTGGGATTTTAAATTTTATGGATTTGGGGTTTTAAATTTGGGTAGCCAATGATTTAATTCTTTTAATTATCTTAACTTTTGCATTTGTATGTTTTTTAATTTTGGCTGTTCACCGCCCTGAGTCCCTTCTGGGAGAAGGGCGGTATACAAATTAAATAAATAAATAAATAAAAATAAAATGGGTTTTTTTTATGACTTTACTTGCCACAGTTGTTAAGTGAATCATTGCATTTGTTAAGTTAGTAACATGGTTGTTAAGTGAATCTGGCTTCCCCATTGACTTTGTTTGTCAGAAGGTCGCAAAAGGGGATCACATGACCCCAGGACACTTCCTCCCAGTGGTGAAATGTAAAATTTGTTACTACTGGTTCTGTGGGCGTGGCTTGGTGGTGGTGGGGTAATGTGACTGGGTGGGCGTGGCCAACTTTTTTTTTTTTTTTTACTTTTAAAACCATTTTTTCTACAACCTCTTCGGCCAAAGAGGTTGTAAAAAAATGCTTTTAAAAGCCTCTGATGATCCCAGCTGAGTTGCCTGATTGGCAGGCTTTTTTTCTTTTAAAAGCTTCTGATGATCCCAGCTGAGCTGCCTGATCAGCAGAGGCTTTTTTTCTTTTAAAGCCTCTGATGATCCCAGCTGAGTTGCCTGATCGGCAGAGGCTTTTTTTTTCTTTTAAAAACATTTTTTCTACAACCTCTTCGGCCAAAGAGGTTGTAAAAAAATTCTTTTAAAAGCCTCTGATGATCCCAGCTGAGTTGCCTGATCAGCAGAGGCTTTTTTTTTCTTTTAAAAACATTTTTTCTACAACCTCTTCGGCTGACTCAACAGGGATCATCAGAGGCTTTTAAAAATAATTTTAAAAAGCCTCTGATGTTTGTGCGGCTCAGCATGGGGGAGGGGCAGGGATTTTTGCTACCGGTTCTCCGAACCACCCGCCTCCATTGCTACCAGATCAGGCGATCGGTCCGAACCGGGTGATCCAGTCCGAACCGGGAGCATTTCACCCCTGCTGCAACCATCATAAATATGAACCAGTTGCCAAGCATCTGAATTTTGATCATGGGGATGCTGCAATGGTTGTAAGTGTGAAAAACGATCATAAGTCACTTTTTTCAGTACCGTTGTAACTTTGAACGGTCGTTAAATGAACTGTTGTAAAACAAGGACTACATGTAGATGACGTAAGCATAGATATTCATAATTAACAAACCTCAAGTTACTTACTGTATTTTTCGGAGTATAAGACACACTGGAGTATAAGACACACCTACCTTTTTTGGTTGTTTTTTTTTAAAAAAGTTTTTTTTTATTTTTTAGACAAGCACACATACAAACATACAATGTATTTTCTTTGAACAGAGTATTTGGCCGGTTCACAAATTTAACCAGTGTTTAGTCATTTCAATTAAATTTACAATTTCTATATTTCCTTTTTGCCATATTTATTCCTCATCTATTTTTTTTTAAAAACCAATATTACCCATCATTCTCATCTCTTATCTTAATCAAATTCAATTTTCCCCTTCTATTCTATATTATACCCCTTCCCATTGTCATCTATTTTTATATCCATCCTCACATTGGTTAATTATTTAATATTACAATTGTTTAATACAAATTCAACATTTTTATATAAATCAATTAGTTATATAACTATCTTTTTTGTATATTAATCAATATGAACATGAATATTCCAATTATTTCCATGCAATCCAATGTCTTACAAATCAATTAATTATATTTACCAATAATAATAAAAAACCAAATAATTTCCCCCATATATTCCTCCAAACCATAACTTAACCATTTCTGCTTTCAACACAATATACAATTAATAGCATCTCAATTATTACAATTCCCTAGTTTTTTTCTTTTGTGTTTAAAATCTTGAACTCTCCTCTTTTGCCCTAAATTTCCCATTGTTTGCACCTACCTTTTTTGGTGAGCAAAAAGAAAAAGAAATCTCTCTCCCTGCCTCATTGCAGCGGAGCCTGCTTTACTTTCAGTTTTGTTTTAGCTAGGGAAAAAAAAAATCTGCTCCAGCACTCTTTGCAGCAAGCAAAGAGCTGGCAAAACAAGAGCTTGCAAAAGAGCCTGCAGAAAACAGCTGAGAGCAAATCAGCTGAGAGTCGGGAGGCAGATCTAATCAACTTGTGCTAATTAGCCTATGCTGAAGCTGAATGGGGCTGTTTTTTCTTGCTGTTTGCTTGCAAGGAGGTAACTGCTGGGAGGCAGAGGCCAAAGGGTGGGGGCCAGTGGGTGGGCAGGGCTATATTCGGTGTATAAGACGCACCTAAGTTTTCACCCCTTTTTGGGGGGTAAAAAGGTGCGTCTTATACTCCGAAAAATACGGTATTTGCCTTTCTACTGTTACTATCTTCAAGAAATAATTATTGTCTCAATAGAAACATCCCAGCTATGTTTTCATATTTTTTTTTAATAAAGCATTGTGAGAACCAAGTTCTTCAGGGTTGCCTCAATTAGCACATATTCCTTCTATGTTTCTATTTTATTATCCTTATCCTAAGGTGGGATAAATATGGAAACCTAAGTCTGAGCGGTCCTTCATGCTCTCTGAGCTTGGTTCTTTTCTCTTGCAGATATCCTATAGATGTTTCATTATCCAAACTAGGTAACATCAGGTAAACTGCTAATTCTGACTAGCATTGATTATTTTTCATTTCATTTTTTTTTTCATTTTATTAAATTTGTATACTGCCCTACTCCCGAAGGACTCAGGGCGGTGAACAGGCACAAAATAAAACACATAAATACAAAAGTTAAAACATGATTAAAACCCAATTAAATAATTTTTGCCTGAGACAATTTAAAACTCCCAATAATTTAAAACGAATTAAAATTTGAGTTTAAAAATTTAAAAGAAGGGGAAAAAATTAGGCCAGGCTGGCCTGCTGGAATAGGAGTGTCTTCAAAGCACGGCGGAAAGTGCGCAGATCCAGGATCCTCCGTATCTCCGGGGGGAGCTCGTTCCAGATAGTAGGTGCCCCCACAGAGAAGGCCCTCCCCCTAGGGGCCGCCAGTCGACATTGTTTTGGCTGACGGCACCTGGAGGAGCCCCTCTCTATGAGAGCCTACCGGCCGGTGGGAGGCTGTTTGTGGTAGTAGGCGGTCCTGTAAGTAGCCAGGTCCTAAGCCATGGAGCACTCTAAAGGTGGTAACCAAAACCTTGAAGCGCACCCGGAAGACCACCGGGAGCCAGTGCAGCTCGCGCAGGAGAGGTGTCACACGGGAGCGCCATGTTGCTCCCATAACCACCCGCGCGGCCGCACTCTGCGCCAGTTGGAGCCTCCGGGTGCTCCTCAAGGGGAGCCCCATGTAGAGAGCGTTACAATAGTCCAGGCGGGAGGTAACGAGGGCATGAGTGACTGTGTGTAGGGAGTCCCGATCCAGAAAGGGATGCAACTGGCGAATCAGGCGAACCTGATGAAAGATCCTCCAGGTCATGGCCATCAAGTGCTCTTCTAAAGAGAGCCGTGAGTCCAGGAGGACACCCAAGTTGCGAGCCCTCTCTGTGGGGGCCAGCGATTCGCTCCCAATAATCAGCGATGGCGTCAACTGACTATATCGGGACATCGGAAACCACAGCCACTCGGTCTTGGATGGGTTGAGCCTGAGCCTGTTCCTCCCCCTCCAGATGTTACTTAGTTTTGGTAATAGAGCATCTGCAGGAAAGCAACTAAACTCAGAGAGCACCAAGGATCTCTCATTTCAACCCTGTGTTACAAATATCCTAAATCTAAATTCGTTTGAACAAAGTCTGTTTCTCAAAAGTAGGCGAGACCTGTGAGAACATGCAGATGATAGCAGTGGTGAAATCTAAAATTTGTTACTACTGGTTCTGTGGGCGTGGCTTGGTGGTGGTGGGGTAATGTGACTGGGTGGGCGTGGCCAATTTTTTTTTAACTTTTAAAACCATTTTTCTACAACCTCTTCGGCGAATGTTTTCAAAAGGCTCTGACGATCCCAGCTGAGTTGCCTGGTCGGCAGAGACTTTTTTTCTTTTAAATGCCTCTGACGATTAGGCAACTCAGCTTGGATCGTCAGAGGCTTTTCTTTTAAATGCCTCTGACGATCAGACAACTCAACTTGGGTCTTCAGAGACATTTAAAAGAAAAAAAGGGTTTTTTTTCTTTTAAAAGCCTTTGAGGATCCCAGCTGAGCCGCGCGATCATCAGAGGCTTTTTTTTTTAAATTTTAAAAGCATTTTTTTGGCCGAAGAGGTAGTAGAAAAAATGCTTTTAAAAGTAAAAAAAAAAAGCCTCTAATGATTGTGCAGCTCAACTGGGCATGGGGGGCGGGGCGCAGGGATTTTTGCTACCGGTTCTCTGAACCACCCGCCTCCATCGCTACCAGATCAGGCGATCCAGTCCAAACCGGGAGCATTTCACCCTTGGATGACAGGTTTCAATTCATAAAACATGTGGGACCTCAGAGTTCCATTATCTTGGCCAAGAGCATTCAGAGGACCACTGAGTTGCAATATTCTAGATTACTTACCACACTTATCTGTGCAGGTGTTAGGTGACATCTTAGACCTTGTGGAACCTCAAAGTTCCATCATCTTGGTGTTGGATCATCACCCAACACCATTTCTGGACATATCCCAACAGGAATGACCCAACTGCAAAACAGCACCCGGATGGTTCAACACCTCCTTTGAAGACTTGAACCAGAAAAGAAAAAAAGAAAACAGATGGAAGTCTCTTGAAAAAGCCACATGATCCTCTGGTCCCTAAATGGGAATCTTTCAGCATTGTTGTCAACTCGCAAAACATTTCTAGCCTGCTCTCGAGTTGCATGGGAAGCAAGGGGGGAATTCATTCCACTCACAGCTTCTTCCAACGTTGGATTTCAGATTACCAAAGCCAATTTGTGAGGCATGGTTCTACAGCCCGCGGGAGTGCCTCATTGGAGAATGTGATTTATGACACAGACTGAGAGGAGGGAGAAAACAGGGTCAAAGTTGAGACATAACTTACGTGCGGCAGAGCAGACCTCACTCGAGTAGATGCCGACATGCTGCTCGTAATAAATAATTGGATTTCTTTTGAAACTTGGCTTGAGACTCATGAATTAATTAGGGCGTCTGTCGGAACCTTCACTTTGGGTGAAATCCAAAATTTTTCCCTACCGGTTCGGTGGGCGTGGCTTGGTGGGCATGGCAGGGAAAGGATATTGCAAAATCTCCATTCCCACCCCACTCCAGGGGAAGGACACTGCAAAATCTCAATTCTCTCCCCTCCTGAGGGAAGGATATTGCAAAATCTCCATTCCTGCCCCACTCTGGGGCCAGTCATAGGTAGTATTTGCCGGTTCTCTGAACTACTCAAAATTTACGCTACCAGTTCTCCAGAACCTGTTAGAACCTGCTGGATTTCACCCCTGCTTCACAATTGTGCCATGTGACTGAGAAAATAATAATCTATGATAGAAAATAGCAGGAAGGCAACCCTGAGGTTCCACTAACCAGATTTATCTAGAGAGCTGCTAGGAGAGGCCACCTTCTCTGGAAGCTGCTTAGAGGTCAACCGTCATTGCCACATCCAATGATAGGAAAAGGATGACAGCTGAAGCCCATATAAAGAAAGAAGGAAAGTTGATGGTCCACTCCCTGATCTTTCCTCTCTTCCTTAAAGAAACAACCTCAAGGAGAAGGAAGAAATGGAAAATCACTTCCTCTGCCCCTTGACTCATAGTTGGAGCTGTATTTGCAATAACACTTGTCTGTTTATTCAGAATATTTGATAAGCTTCCATCTGTTACTTCTTGTCTTGCCCTCTGGTGCTTTGGAGAATAGTGTCAGCCTCTTTGATGCATGCTTGCTATCGGCTACCATAGTAATGCAGAGGGGGGGGGAAGTTTGGCATTTGGGTGGGGAAGTGAGCTGGAGTGAAAATGGCCTGTGTGGACAAAAAGGGAGGGATGCTCTAATGATCTACTGCGCAGCTGAATGGAGATGTTTATATCCAGTCAAGGTCAACCGTCCTGGAATACCAGATGGACGAAAACACCTGAAGATGTGCCCCACATGACACCATAAGGGATGGGGATTGGACATTCAGCCTGGGTCTTTGCAGGGAGGGAGGAGGGATTTGGGGAAAAAAATCACAAACAGGCCCTATTCTGAACATTTGGCAGGATTCAAGAATTCTGACTGCTTCACTGGTGTTAGAAGACAGACAGTACTAGAGTTAAGTGACAAGAGTAGCACTGAACTCCATAGCTCGGAGTGACCTTTCCCAGCAGTCCTGGAGACAACCGGCCATTCTGAAGGACGGCAAAAGTCCATTCCCTGGGTGCTGAAGTTTCTTCCTCCAGCATCACTTTCTGGACATGTCCTAACAAGAAGGACTTCATCACTGCAAAACATTCTCCCTTCCCCAAGTGTATCTGTGATTTTTCATCTGTATGTTTTTCTCCTCTGACATTCTGTGCATGGAAACATGGAAGAACTTCAGGATCTCCAGAGAAGTTCTTCTCACTGTAATTATCACCATCTTGATCTTTGAGGCCTCTTCCGCTATGTCTCCAGTGACTGCTTTTGATGTAAACATCAGGCAGAAGCAATATGGAAAGGATCTTGCATCAGAAAAGGATAAATGGTTCAGATCACACACTGTGCAGCATCAGTTTAAAGACAGGCAGGGACTGTGCTCTTGAATTTATCTTTCATTTCCAGGTGAACCTCGGTTTGCCTCTTTCTGAATCCTGAAAACTGCTGGAATTCTCATTTTGTGAGAATGCTTTACATTCTGCCAACACTTTCTATTTTTCTGGCTTAGAAATGGGAAGGGGATTGATTCCTCTCTGTGAATTATGGAGCTCCTGCTTCTGCTTCTGTTGCTGCCGGTGTCCCAGGGAATCTCTGAGAATCTTAGAATGAACTGCCTTATGATTTTGCAACACCAAGATGAAAAAATCCCATGGAGCTTTTATAGGCCAGGAGACCATCTGATTAGCATGGTTGCCACTGCCATAAAAATAGAGGACATAATATTTCCTTTCGACGTGGCTCCTTCTATTCAAACTAAGTCGTAAGTCATTCAGTCTGTTACAGATTGTTCAGTCTGATACATTCTAACATTTCTTATACTCCTATATTTTTGTTTCATCCATCCATCCATTCATCCATCCATCCATCCATCCATCTATCCATCCATCCATCCATTCGCACACTTATTTATTTATATCCTGTTTTTATTATTTTTACAAATATCTCAAGGCAACAAACATATCTAACACACCTTCCTCCTCCTGTTTTCATCACAACAATAATCCTATGATATTGAGCTGTGGTGGCGCAGTGGTTAGAGTGCAGTACTGCAGGCTACTTCTGCTGACTGCCGGCTGCCTGCAATTTGGCAGTTCAATTCTCACCTGTCTCAAGGTTGACTCATCCTTCCATCCTTCCGAGGTGGGTAAAATGAGGACCCAAATGGTTGGGGGCAATAGGCTGACTGTGTAAACTGCTTAGAGAGGGCTATAAAGCACTGTAAAGCGGTATATAAGTCTAAGTGCTATTGCTATATACGTTGGGCTGAGAGAGAGTGACTGGCCCCCAAACACCCAGAAGACTTTCATGGCTAAGGCAGGACTTAGAGTCACGGCCTCCCACTTTCTAGCCAGGTGCATTAACAACTAGATTTACCCACTAGAATCTCTTCCTGAGCTGCATTTTTAAAAATTGATTCAACCTTATGAATTATGGAGCTTCTGCTTCTGATATTGCTGATGTCCCAGCCAATCTTGAGGAAGCTTAAAATAGATTGCCAGATAAGAGATGCCCCTGCTCAGCCCATTTCCATAGATTTATAAGTGCTCATTGATATTCAATTCTTAATATTTATAGGAATAGAAAATGACGTTTTTTTAAATTTTTTATTAGAAAATATAAACAAACAAACAAGCAACAACAAAACATATGAAACAAGTAAACAAAAATTCATCTATACATCTTCTTTTCAAACTTGTCACATCGGTAATCTATATTCTTGTTTATACCTTTAACTCTTTCTTGTTTTAACCTATCTCTTATATCTATATCCCTAATACATCATCTCTATACATCCTCTTACTCAATATTTTTAGTTCATTATTAACATTGCTTTTCTGGATCACTTTTGAAACATCTTTTTCTTTTTAATACGTCTGTTTTAATGATTGGATGCTTTAAATCCTGGTTTATTGGGCCGATGAAAATTAAGATTGCTACAAATAATGGTTTATTTATGATTCTTTTTTTTCTATTAAAAAGTTTTAAAAATTTTTTACAAATGTTTTCCCATCCCACCTCCCCCCTCTCTCCCCAGCCCTCCCCCCAACTTCCCAAAGCAAAATACAGGGTATAGCATTTAACAATCATATACTAACATATGCTAACTATCTATAGACTCCTATCTCCCTCTTGTACTTTTAACTCCCTTTTTACATCACTAAATTTAAATACTTTCTAAAATCTCTTTATTCATTCATAGACTTTTTGAAACTTTTTAATCCGATATTTGTTTTGAATATAGTCGATCCATCTTCTCCATTCCACAATATATCCTTCATTTGAATGGTTCTTCAAATACGCTGAAATTTTAGCCATCTCTGCTAAATTCGCTACTTTTAGTGTCCATTGTTCAATAGTAGGCAAGACTTCCTTCTTCCAATACTGCACCATCAAAAGTCTTGCTGCGGTTATTAAATTTAAAATCAAATTAGTCTCTATAACAGTACAATCTGTAATTATACCCAGCAAAAACAGCTGTGGAGTGGTTTATTTATGATTCTTCACCCTGCTGAAAAGTACCTACATCCCATCTTTTCAACACTCATGAAAAATTATATACTGATGGGTGACTGTCATTCACCTTTGGTTTTGGATCAGTGTTTCCATAAAACTCAGTAGTCCTGTGGAGACAGAGAGGATGAAATAAAAAAACAAGAATTTTGTTGTTTCTTTGATGATGATGAAGAAGAAGATGATGATCATAATGATCAAATGTACATTTTTAAACACAGGGGCTTTAGTGATCATTCAGAAATCCTACGGTTCATTTTCGCCATTCAAGTGGTCAACAAGAATCCCTATTTCCTGCACAATCTCACACTTGGCTACAACATCCATGACAACTATTTGAATACACTTGGCACTTCAGATGCATTGCTGAGCATACTCTCTACTGGCGAAGCCAATGTTCCCAACTACAGTTGTGGAAGGAAGGATAATCTTTTGGCCCTTATTGATGGAGCTGACTGGGACGTCTCAATCCAGATGTCAACATTAGTAGGTCCCTACAAAATCCCACAGGTTTGTGTGTGTGATTTGTAATTTGTAAAATGAGAGGGAAGGTGGTTAGCTCTATCTTCTCTATGGAATTGAAGAGCTCCTTTGGCCACTGGAAGTGTCATGACGAGGGATTAAGATCATAGTGGGGAGGAGGCAAGGATCAAAGCAGACATACCTTATCATGATACCATCTCCACTGTTTGTGGGCTTCTACTGCACACGTGTGAAGGTGAGGAGAGCCTCTGTGTCCAATTAAAGGGACATCTGTAATAAGAAAGGTGCAGCAGTGATGGAAAATTCATATTTTGTGCAGGAACCCAACCAAAATATTTTCAATGGTAAATAAATCCCATATTCATGAAAAGAAATCCAATGGATTATCTTACCTACAGTTGATACAATATTTATGTCCTATGGATTTGTAGGGACCGCTAGAATTAATTAACAACTTTATGAAATGGATTATCTTAAGGAGTGTTAGTAAAAACATATGTATGGATGCATAGTGACCAATAGCATTAAATAACCAGTTTATTATAAAAAAATTACATTAGCCAACATATCAACTATTTTTACTCTAATCTGCTGAAATTCATCACAAAAGATTGAAAGTCCCAGAGGAACTTTTCTTCCAACTGAACTATTCAATAAATTTTGTGAAGCTTCTTCTCCAATAACATTGTATTGCTAATTACGGCATACAAAACCTTTGCCAGACCAATTCTCAAATACAACTCATCTGCCAGGAATCCACACTGTATATCAGACATTAATACGAG